ATAATGGACACGAATAGATAGAAGAAGTCTAGTTCTAAACTAAGCAAAGCTTGTACTATGGATACTAGGTAACTGATAAACATATTTATTTATTCGGGAAAACAACAGCATATCGTATAATAGTTTTTCCAGATTGTCACTTCTTATTGAAAGCCAATTACAGTTTTCCACTATATAAATACATATAACAACGAAGCTAGCACATGATCAAAAAAATTTTTTAAAAAAGGTAAACAGAAAAAAAATTGGCAAAATTTAATTAAAAATATACTAATGCATTATTTACGAAAACAAAAAAAAGAAATAAAAGAAGGGAACGACTCGAGTGCAAATGTCTGTGTGTGTGTGTGTGTGTGCGCGCGATTTTGTTATATTATGTTTAGATCTTCCTTTATTGACTTTTTAAATGCTTGACTTATTAATGTTTAAACATCCTTTCTTTTATAAATGTATACATAATATATAAACGTCCAGGCACTGGAAAAGCACTATTTTCATTATACAATATTCTTCCACAAGTGGGGATCGAACCCACACCCTCTAGCGAGACAGACCCAGTCCACTATCCACTACGCTAATTGGAATCGTAGATCCGTTTCTGCTTTAATCCAGTTGGATCACTGCACCGGCCACCTCATTTACCACACGAAACCCGAAGGTTTTAAGACTTTTACGTTTTATTATAGCAGCAGAAGCAATGTTGCTCTTTGACTGAATTTATTATTAAGCTATATTTAATTCATAGTTAAATGTTTATCCTTAGCAATATAGATCACCGCACTAGTGAGGTTCTGGAAATTATTTTTATATGTTGACCGGTTCTGCCACAGTTAATGCCATAAGCAAAACTATGCGCTCACAATCGCTTCGCCTTGAAGCTACGGAGAATGATAATTGGACCTCGCATTAGGCTTGGGGACAAGGTTCAATGCCTGCTGTTAATGACTAGGAAGATAAATAAGAACAAAACACCAACAAGCATGTTATCAGTGTAAGAGTTCCCTTCAATTATGATCGGATTCGTATGATCTAATTTATACATTCTATGCTAAGGAGACTTCTATTAAATGCGTGCAAGAAAAAGTTCGTCTCAATGAACCCATAACAGATATATGTTTTATAATTACAATTTAATTGAGTTATAACATGAATCATTTATTTTATACGCAACCTGCATACTCGCTTACGGTTGTCGATTAACTCTTTATTAATGTTTATTATTCAAACTGATGGCGTTCTAGAAGAGGGTAGTAATTATTTTACGTTTAAATACTTTGCTAACATTATCATTTAAGTCCCAGTAAAAGTAATTTCTATATACATTCATATAGACATTCTTGTAATGATAGGCGTATTGTTACTCACGAGATGGGACTGAACGTGTATCTACTAGTATTAAGAGGAAGTTGCTACAGATAGCTCAGGGTCGTGCCTTGCGATAATTTATAATAATTCTTTGTCCAGTGGCATGAATTAACTTAAAGGCTTTATTACAATAAATGCAATGCTAAACAAACTACGAATAGAATGTTCATAGTTTGTTTAGCACAATTTCGTTTGTAAAGCACAACTTATAATAATTTAATAAAATTATACTTAAGTGTTACACTATATGAGATATGCTTTTAAATAATATAGAATTTCAGGGTATCTACAAAGTTAGTTTTACTTCGCAAATTCCTTTAGTGATTAGCGCCCGTGTTACTGTCGATATCAGTACCCTTAATATTTCAAGATTATCAATGATCCTAAGGTGGCGTTAAAAATCTCTACTCACTACGTTCACGTATCAATTACCATAACGTAATATTACTCAAACATTTATGTGTGTTTATGCAATTTCACTGCGTTGACCAGAGTCAACCCGACTGGACCATTGTGATTCTGTACGGTGGATTTAAAATTATAATCGGTCACGAGGAGCACCACGATATGGCCTGGTTACACTTACTTATTCAGTTTTTGACCCATTCTCGTTGTGTCGTATTACGTAATAATAAATCATTGAGAATTGACGATAACTTGTATAGGCCGATGCATAAATTTATCTGTATGTTCCGAATCGTGAAATTTTGAGATTAATAAAGATTGTTCCATTGAACAACAACAAATTATCCACATATAAAGAAGTAAATATGTATCTGATAAATAAGTAAATGCTTTATTAAATACAAGAGAGTTTAGGTTGGATTTATACTAATAAATCCAACCTAAAATAAATCAAACCTTATTGGACTACCAATAACAACGCACATTATATCCTACACATAGCAAGTAAGTATTATTACCAACGGTTCATTTAGCCTTTTAATGGTAATAATGATAGAACTGATGGAAATATATTCCTAGATCCTTCTCTACGTTTGTCGCTTAAGAAAATTGAATAGCGAACGATAGCAAAGCGTATTTGAATAAATTGTTTATTTATAATGCGTGTTGATGTAAAAAAAGTCCTTTCCAATATGGACGATGTAATTAATGAAATGAAATGAAATTATTTATTTCAGACTGCACATAATAAATCATAATACAAGTCCATAGTGTTAGTTAGAAACTTAAAAACTATGTTAGTAAAATTTAAAATATTTATTATTATGTTGGACATGTATGAAAGCCCAATGTTTTATTATTGGGCTGTCCACTCGATCAGACACAACCTTCAGGAGTGTGTTGGAACTGCTCCTCACCCGCGTCCATAAGGAGGCAGCTCTTTTTCGAAGCACTGCCTCAAAGCTATCAGTGCTGTAATCGGTAAACATGCCTGAAGCACTACAACGCCAATGCAGCCCCAACAAACTCCTGAAGCTGTTGTTGTACTGGACACGCAGAGCATTGTATGCTTTTTTGGTGTAATTGCTCCACAGGTTGCACGTATACAATGTTTGGCAATAACTTTTAAAAAGTGTTACCTTAACTTCGCGCGAGCAACGTGCGAACCTGCGGGATAGCATATTACTCCTTACCGACAATGCTCTGCGTTCCCTGTCAATGTCCATGTCATCGCACAAATTCTCGGTGACCCAGTGACCCAGATACTTAAACTTAGAAACTTGCTGTAAGACAGTTCCATTAAGTGTAATGGGAGGAACACGATAAGTTTTAGTACCTGCCTTAAAGACCAGCAGCTCGCTTTTTTTCACGTTGTATCTGAGTCCATGGGTCATGGCATACTTTTCACAGATGCTTAACAGGGTTCTCACCGAGTTGACCGAAGGGCCCAGCAGTACCATGTCGTCCGCGTAGCTAATGTTATTAATAAAACAGCCATCTACCGAACAACCGACACCAGCACTGCTGAGCTCCCCAATCAGTCCGTTGACATACACGTTAAATAAAGTAGGTGAGGTTAATCCCCCCATCCCCCCTGCCTTACTCCACACATCATTTTATATTCTTCTGAATATTCCCCTGCCCATCTAACAACGTTACGTTGGTTGTCATACCAAAATTTAAAGATATTAATAATTTCCATAGGCAACGTACTTTGCATTTTTAATTTGTTCCATAAAACATTATATATAACCATATCAAATGCCTGAGAAAGATCTAGAAAACATGCAAAAACTGGTGTTTTCCTAACAGTGTAGTACTGGACAGTGTGCTTAAGGCACAGCACTGCAGATTCAGTGGACAACCCAGATCGAAAGCCAAACTGAGCATCATGTAGCGAGATGTTTTGACTCAAGTGCTTATTAAGCACACTATCCAGCACCTTTGCGAGAATTGTCGCAAGTGATATTGGTCTATAATTACCCTTATCTGAAGCGTCACCAGTCTTATTCTTAATAATAGGTACAACTATAGTCTTCATGATTTCTGCTGGTAGGTAGTTATGACGCAGACATAAAGTAAACAGCACAGACAAAACTCTAGGCAGGTGAGGCCCAGCATGTTGCAGATGCTCGATACTGAGACCATCGTGCCCCGGTGACTTGCCTCTTGTCATCTGTTTAATAACGGTGGCAATTTCCCCACTTGTTATTTTTACCAGAGAGTCACCAGGAGGCCGTGTCCCAGCATCCAGCATCCGCTCACACCTCTCAGGATTCAAGAGTGGTTCCACTTTAAAATGGCTTCTAAAGAGGTTGGCCACGTCACGGGGTGCACTAATACCATCCACACTAGCTGGCACGTTTACTTTTGGGGTTAATTTATTAGTGGATTTCCAAAAGTGAGAGAAATTTTTTGCTTTATGATGGTCAGCTATTATATCCATCTTTATTTGGTCTTTGTGCTTAAGGCAGTACTTCAGTTTAGCTTTAAATTCTCTTCTGGTATTGCACATTGCCTCATAAACACTACCAGCCCTCGGCTTACCATACAAACACCACTCCCGAAAACATATTCTAGCCTTTTGCTGTGCCTGTCGAACATGCTTATTCCAGCCCGTGACGTGACGTCCCCTGGAACATGCTGCACCTTTAAAGGTAGATACTGAGGCCTCTGTCAGCACTGTTACAATTGATTGATAAAGCCCATCTATTGTGGCTCTATGGCTATCATTATTACATAATTTATCAGCGCAAAGTCGAAATGCGTCAGGAAAATCTATGTTTTTTAATTTACTTTGACATAAATCATGATATTTATTTATTTGCGACTGATCTCTCTCTCCCCATATAACACCTTTTACTGTATTATTACAATCATTGACATCTATTGACAACTTCGGTATACTTTGCTGTAAATTACAAACTATTTCTAACGGTAAGTGATCTGACCAAAACACATTGTAATGAATTTTTGCACTCACAATAGTTTGTCTAGCGGCTAATGAGGACACACAATGATCAAGCCACCGCGTAGACCCGTGACAATCACTCACAAAAGTATATGAGTCCGCTGGCAAAAGTTCAGTATCAACCATGCTTAGTTGTTGCTCACTACAATATACTTTAAGCTCATTGAAAAAGGGGGTATCAGGATGCGCGTTAAAGTCACCCAACACATAAATTAAGTCCACGTCTTCATTTTTCAATTATAGCACTTATTTCGGCTCAGCCCGATACAAACTCGGCTAAATTGTCACGTTCGTCCGTAGGCATGTACACTGATATTATAATCATTGATCTACTACCCATAGAAACCTTAATCCCAGTTAATCGCACACTCTGACACTGAATTACAGACACACACGGAAAAGAGGACTTACGCCATAGAAGCGCCACTCCACCATAGGGCCGACCACGTAGAATCCCCGCCGACAGGTCCACAGCTGTGTTACCTGTATACGCGAACTCCGTGTCAATTGCTCCCAGCAGCGGAATGTCGTGTTGCAGTAGCCAAGTCTCTTGCAGTGCGATGATGTCAGCAGACTTACATGAGTCTCTTAGGCATCCCATAGCTCCAGACAAACCCTTGCAGTTGAAACTCACGAAATTATAGTTCTTGTTTATTGGTGTACTACCCATCACTGGTTGTTTTGGTTTGCCATATTTTTCATTTTGGGTTTTGTGAAGTCCACAAAACGCCTAAACAGTACTCCCTCTGGCCAAAAGTTTTCATTTAGGAATAAGTCTAGTTTAGATTTTGGCACAAATACTTTGTATGCATTGTATCCCCTATCGTGTTTTAATGCCAGTTTCTGCAGCGAAATATTCATTTGAGACTTATTGTACACATGTGCGATGATGTCGTTGTCAGTCGTAGACTTGTCGACATTGTAAATAAAGAGCGGTATTTTTATGTCAGCCGCCCTGAATTTGCCTTCTGGTTCTGTAGCAGCAACACCTTTTTTTTTCCAATTATTCTATTTCTTAACCTTTTTTCTTTGGGCTATTTTCCATTCTTCCGACGGGCTTTCACTTTTCCATTCTCCAGGTGCCATCACTACTTGTGCTAAAGTATTATTAGTAGCTTTAGATTCTTGTTGACACATACGCTGTCCTGCGTGCGCAGCGATGGTAACTGTTTGGGATATCGGCGATCTTGAACGCGCACTATTACCTGTAGTCGGCGACGTAGGGGGCATTGTATGCGCAATGCTCTGGCTGTCGTCCGCGCCCTGATCGAGGTCCGCACCTTTTAGTCACTCCGCCTGCTGTGCCGATCACCTGATTTGACGTTCGTGTTATTGAACGCGCACTCGACTTGTTTACGTCGTTTTGTCCGTTATGAGTATGACTCACGTTTGCATTTTTAATTTCTCTGTAAAAATTTACAAACGGCGGAACCGGTGGTGTGTCCGTGTTTATTAATGTATCATTCTTATCATTTTTCGGACTGGACTCTGATAAATGATGAAAACCCATCGGCCCACTGTCATAATTGTAATTATTTAAACGATAACCTCCTCGTTTCACATTTATATTGCAAAATTCCTCAGTATTTCCACGTCCCTCGTTCGAGGATTTCAATATATCTACTTGGTTTTGCAGTGTATTAAAGGCATCCATAGTGACGTAGTTGCTGCTAACTGTCTTCAGTTCTTCCTTTATCACCAAAATATCCTTAAGGAGTCGTGTCACATCAATGTGATCAAAAGTAATCGGTGGCAACTTTTGTAGGTCACGGGCTACAAAAATAGGAATATTCTCCTTCGGGGTCTGTTTGCTTCATAAGTGCAATAATATCCTCAATAACCCGTTGTGCTTTCTTCTCTCCTTTACGAAGCGTTTTTTTCACCGACGGGATGGAGGCATATAACAAATTTTTAGCACTGAGGAGTTCTTCTGCCGTAAAAGCAGTCACACATATTTTATTCAAGCTGTCTTCGTCCATCACATCAAGCTTGTTTTTTACAAAAGCTAACACTTCACAGATTACTATATTACAACTCGAACATTTTACAACATTCGTAGCCATTGTCACGGCAAAAACGCGACGCCGGTGCACTAATTCCGTCTGACACACGCTCGACGCTGACGAGGCGCGCGCGCTGACTGACTGAATTAAAATCATTCTATATCAATCATCCAATTTAGCGATCTAACCATATTAATAATAATTCCAACAGAAGTACAAAAAATTGTACTACAAAAAGTAATTTTTTTAACTTGAAACATATGTATTATCAGGTGGGGCGATGGACTTTCATCGATCTCGCGATATCGACCGATAAACGAAGATAGCTTGCGTCAAGGCGTTGGCGTGCCTCAGGGTAACGAACTCGGCCCTTTGCTTATACATCATTTATACGCACGTCACTAAAGCCTCCATAAAAGCTTCTATCAATCGCTAAATTATCGATTCTATCTGACTGGATTCATCTACCTGGATTATGTATGTCTAAAGTCCGATATTACTTTGATTTTCCTTCGGTTACTATGATAAAGTTTTCAAATGTGATATGATATCTATCTTTAAAAATTTATGTAACTTTTGTATTTTGTAGTTGATGTAGTTGCTCTTATACGAAAAAAATATTATATGGGTAAGTTTAATGGGTCGGTTTCATTTCATGCTTGGAAAAGTTTTGGAGTGTGTTATAATAATAAAGTAGCTCATCCTTGTATTAAAGCATTTTTTTACGAATACTTTGTTGTATATAACTACATTCTATGTCAACAAACGATTTGACACATTAGATAACAGCTACATGTAGTCGGTAGCTTGTTGAGTGCATAACTCTTATCGATAGTCAAGATTAATCAGAAATTGATTAGATTTTGACGAAACACAATCGACCTGTTCTTTTCTGACGAAAAGCGTCTGGGTGCCTTAACTCGAAGACGCAGGTTCGATACCGGCAGCGTCATAAGTTTTTATACATTTATCTACAAAAATTAATAACATACATTTTAATTTTCATCTTGAGTTCAGGCACTAGAATATATATAAATTCTAATCTTTTATACTATACACTGGTTGAATATCAACGTGATAAATCCCAAAATTTTGGTCAAGTTACTTACGCCCTACGCCCTAGGTACATTTAAGCAGGCGTTAATACCGAGATCACTGAACCCTGGAATATAGTGTTGACGCCGATCTGTGTTTTCGTTTACCTCGTGCACCGCGTATGTAAAAAACAGTCACATGTTGCTGTTGTAAATATTTGGTGTAACGTAATCAGTTGTTCGTACACACAGCATTGAAGTAATGACTTATTGTTGTGTAAACACGACGAATGTGTTTATAAAAATGAATTGTTTCATTGAAAATACGGTGATTGAAATGATTATGTGGGTAGATTCTTATAAGTTTAAGCGAATCAAATTTGCCAAAATCTTCTTAATTTTAAATTTAATTATATTAATTTGCGTTTAAAATAAATTTACGAAAAGTATGGGGCTGAACTTGGTGATTCAGAGGCAGGCCAGACTGCTGAGACTGATATAAAACTGGTCATTACGTATACAATTCTTTGCTGAATTGACCCTTCCCATAATCTCAGAAAGATGAATAACGTAATACGTTGATTCATTAAAACGAATCTAGCTAGGGTTTTACATTCATGACTCACGTCATCCTCATTAATGCTTTTGCAAGGTTCAATGTTCAAGCAAACGAACTTCATTTATTATTGTTTACTTTCTTTGGATTCACTATCTAAGGTCGGAATCCCAGTGACATGCACTACTGAGTTTTCCTTTATTTGTATTTGTTGTGCGCATCATCATCTAACAATTATGCGCAATTTACCTTGGCAGGATCCCACTATTAAAATACTAAGAAAATTAAAAAAAAATGTAATTTCGTTTTAGCACTTTTAAATAAAAATTGACAAAAAACGCAACTGTTATATTCCTCCAGGGTTCATAATAGATGATAATTACTTTGGAATTGACATATGAGGTGATCAAACGTTAACGTAGGCCTGGCAACCATTATGTAGGGTTGACAAAAACACGACCTTGTCCCTGCGAACGCTTTCATTTGCATTAATCTCACAGGTACAACGCAGTTGCTAAAGATAAATCTAATACGTTTGAGAAGGCAAAATATTGTAAAACCGAGAAACCAAACGAGGGGGCTCGGACTTTATATATGCACATAATCCCGGCAGTTGATGACGAGCGCACTGTGGAGGCGGGTCACCCCTCCCCGACCCCTCCTCGTCCACACAGAAGATATAAATGCGGACACTTCGAACGTAATATTCAGTTTCTTGTGGCCCCTTGCATTTGCAACATACCTAGAATGTTCCCGTTTGTGATCATACTCCCCAGATTATTGGTATGATAAGGTAGCCTTTCTTAGTGAACAGTGGCTGTGAGTGGATTGTTAAGGATTGTCGAACGAAATGTAAATATATCTTTGGAAACTTATTAATATTTTTATTTTACCTATTCAAAAATGGACCAGGTATTATATAGCAAGAATTTGACTTGTTTATTTCACAGTCATCACCTCGCCTGCGTGTTTGTGCCCCACTTGGTCACTGGATCAACAAAAGCAGTTATTGTATATTTATGCTTTCTTAAGCATTAAAATGTATGTGTATATTAATGTTAAATATCTGCATTCAGGCGACAATGCGTCTCCAGGATTGATAGTAGAATAATTATAGTATTTTGGAATCTAAAATCACACGACATGGTCTTAATATATCGCGCCGATGAATGCTGTGTGAAAATATCTAACGATGTCTGAAATCTATATGAACACCCAGTGCAAGATCAATTTGAAAATAATATAGACATTGAGAGAAGCACTTATTCAATCTCACTTCAAACGCTCATGGTTATAGTGCATGATATAATATTATTGATCATTTGAAACTACCGTGTATCAAATTTATCAACTCTCTTCAACGAGACTGTGAGCTTATTTGTCTTAGCCATGGGTGGTGTTTAGATGAATCGTTTTCATTCTCACTGTTATTGACCGTGAACTTGTCAATTCTTGACCTTTAAACTTTACTCGTTTCCAGTTCGTGACGCGGAGTATCGACATAGACAACTATTTTTCAATCAGTGATGTGGGAATCCGATGTTTGTAATCAAACAGTATTTTATTGATTTCTTGTATTTACGTGGATACTGTATATGGGTATTTACCCATATATATTAGATTTATCTATTTATTATATATGTCTAGTTAGAACTATTTAACGGATTTTATCGTGTCAGTAACTATCACCAGTCTTTTTTTCCTTAACTTATACGAGTCCTTGATTGTTCGCGGCTGCCTCAATAGATTTCCGCACGCTTTGTTCCTCCAGATAGTGAACAGGTGTTAACGTGGTAACATTTTTTAAAACAGTCCGTTTTAGTGTTGATTCTCAAACACATATCGATGTTCAGTATACTAAGGTACTATTAATATTCAGTTGCGTCTCGGCTTTTCGCCCCTCTGGCGCGTTCATTAAAATTCGTGCCTACGGCGGCCGTAGAAGAATGATTCAGTCGCCTTCGTCCCGCGGCTGTTATGTCAGCGAGGCCGAATTTTACGGTCGCCGGTATCGTTTCCATCGGGCCGTGAATGAATTTACATGATCAGTAGACTGGATTCAGATTAGGCAGCTGTGATAAACGAATCAATATGTATGGATTGCGTTGAGATTTTTACTTCGGCAAAGGCCTTCAATGCAAACAAAGACTATTCGAAAGCTATTACAGCGGTTATTATAGTTAGTACCCGGAGGACCGAGATTTGCTCGGTTTTTTTTTTTGGTAAATCGTGTGTTTTGGAAATTACATTTAGATACAAATTATTGAGTAATGAAATATGCGTAATATTTTTCGATCTTACCGACCTAATAATAAGAAAAATGAAGTGGCGTTTTTAAGAAACAACTTTAAAAAAAGGGAAAAAAGTAACAAAATAACAAATCGACAAAAAAATTAAAAATAAAGAAAGCAATCAAGCAAGATCTGGAATCGAAAAAAAAGTAAAAAAATAAATGTGTAAATGATCGTGACGCGAACCACGGCCGTCTGTTTTGGGGCCGCCCGATTACCGACCGAGCTATTATGACATTTTCTTTTGCGGCGAAATTTACCGTCATATTCGAATGATATTTTTCATTCCCTGAAAATAGGGATAAAGGGACATTTTCTAAAAATGAAACCTAGCTAGATCGATTTTTCGCCCCCGAATCTACGCACATACTAAATTTCATGAAAATCACTGGAGCCGTTTCCGAGATTCCGATTATATATATATATATATATATATATATATATACAAGAATTGCTCGTTTAAAGGATAAGATAACATCGAATGCAAATCCTTAATGACGTACACTCCTACAATTACTCTGCGTTGTTACGTAGGTACGTTGAAATATTACCGGAGTAAGTAAAGGGAGACCTTTTTATCATCTGATAAAGGGAAAGGGGACGGATTTGTAATATACAAATCTTACATAATATGAATTTAAAAAATGATAAAATGTGTACTCCTGATAAATTTTCTGCATACGTTTCATATGGAGTGGATAAGAAAATCTTTATTTTAAGAGAAACTATTAAAACGCTAAAACGTAAATTTGAAATACAATTTAGTCTTATAAATTTAAATTTCAATATTTCATGACAGTTTGCCTAAAAGAATTACTCATTGGACATAAATCTTATAATTTGTTTAGCCAATACAAACAATCATTTATTCGATAGAGGGCAACCCTTCTATCGAATACAAGATTGTTTAACTGTATTCTATTTAATGTCAAAAAAGCGGATATAATAATTATTATTTACATAAAATAGCGAACCTCTGACTGCCCTTATCATATCTACCGTATAATATCTAGTTATCAGAAAATCTTCGTTATCTGTAATCAACACATATGGAAGAAAGGGGTAATAGTCGCCTTGTGACTAGAAATTGCATCTAGGGTACACCAGCAAATTTCCATTTTCCGGTTTTCCATCTTTGAAAAATCTGTAACGATTTTTGCTGTATGTGTCCTGGTTTGAAACTTAATTTATTTAGCTAAAAAGTAAAAGTTGGCTGCATCGTTTCTATTTACTATTTCCAGGGGGTATGACACCTAAATATACTCTCATAGCGTAAGAAGTAAACAGTAAAAGCCATTGTTATTAATGACTCTTTTGATGCCCACCGTTACAAAATTGCGACGTTCTGAGCTTAGCAGAACATGTAATAAATGCAGCATTTAAATAATCTGAATTGACTACGCTGTAAGGCACACCTATATTGTGACATATTAAAGCTTAGGATCGCACGGCTGCTGTTTCTTTACTTTCTGATATTTTTGCTTCCAGTCCGTAGACTGTTAAAGCTTCATTGAAAGTTGAACTCATGGGCTAGCCAGAATCCATGAGCTCCATCATAGATTTTGCCTAGCCCACGAGTCCTCATTTGGCCCTCTATGTTTGGGTTGAGCCAAGCATGTGCAAATTATTTTCTACGGGAAGAATTTGAATAACGGACCATCGGGGTTTGGATCGGACCCTCACCCCCGATGGCCGATGACAGCTATAATTGGAAGTTCTAGGAAGCGAGAACCGCCCTGCAATGTGTGTACTTTGTGTACGCGGTGTGTCGGTTTCGCTTCGCTCGCTGGCGAGGACAAATCAATTGGTTACGTGTCTTAGCACTAAGTGGGTGGGACTGGTGGGACCTCCAGAGTAGCTCCGATAGACCTAAATGCCTTTCTTCAACCGGGTCGATGAGAACGTTGAGCAGGCAACGTTTACGTTTATCGCCAGAGGATTGGAATGGTTTTCGGCTCTTTCAATGTGCATCATCGGAAGTCTGCAATCGCTATGCAAGTTGATCTTACGTTGATACAATAGCCCCGGTTACGTGGCGAATGAACTTATTTTGAATTTCCTGGATTTATGCGGGTTTGTGGGGCTTACGTGAGCAAAGGACACACAAAAGTAGGGTATTACGGTTGTCCACAAGCCTTGTCGAAGCTTAAGTTAAGTTATAAAGCCAACCCGAAATGAAAGCAGCTCTTTGTACTTTTTTAAATGAGTAGTGAATGTTATTCTGGATTGGAAGTAACTAATTGATACTTGACCTTCTTTTTATGGGATCGGGTGGCCGTAAAATGTGATTTGTTCTAGCTTCCTGCTTGAGCGACTTCGACTGAAGTGCCTTTGCCGAGGAGTTAATATATATTCTCCATTTGCGAAACCAGTCACCGAGGTGATCGGAGATGCTATGGTGAAACTTGTCATTCGGCTAAAATGCTTGTTCGAATAGAATATAGAAATCTTCAAGGATGTCGTCATGTAGAGCGAAAAGAGGAAGGGAGACAGGCAGGAGACTTGAAGAATGCCTTGACTTAGTCGAGTTAAGGAAGGAAAAACTTTCTATGTGAGATAAGAAATTGAATTGAATTGAGTAGGCTATTCTTACATATAATATAGACAATTATTTACGTAAAGTCAATATAATAACTATAACTTAATAGAAAAATGGGAGACAGTTCGAACATTTTTTATATCATGTCCCTTATTATGCTATAAGAGAAGTTAGAAAACTTAAAGCTTATTCTTTTCAATCATTATGTCTCTTTATATTTACACATTCTTATATTTAAAAATAAATCAGTCTATGTAAGACTGCCGTGACCGCGACTTCGTCCGCGGTCACTTCGCGTGGATTTTAAAATAAATAAACTAAAATTTCTAAAATAAAAAATAACCTAAGTTACTCCTTCTTACATCAACTATCAGAGATTAGCTGGAACAGACAGACAGACAGACAAAAATTTTAAAATTTTATTTTTGTAAAGATACCGTAGGTATATATATTCATCCATATTATAAGCAGACACTCCAATTTTATTTACCTGTATAGAGTATAGATATTTTAGCTTTTCGTAACGTCGTCGGTCGAATTGAAATTATCATCGAATGATATATGCAAATCCCTGACTCGCTGAACCACCTCGCCTGGAACGCACATTTAATGTTTATCAATTCAAGAACGCGTTCGATTTAACGGCTCGCGTCTCGCCTATAAACGTGATTGCGATCTATCATAAAACACAGTCGCCAAACGGCCTTTGCTTTATTACTTAACGATCACATCGGCTACCGAACAAGCGTGACTTTGTTTCTTATTTCAATATCCTGCTTGAACTTTTGCGCAATTCAAGGTTGCAAAGTGTTACGGCGCCTGTAGCGCCATCCGTGGTAAGGACGAAGAAGCCATCTATTATTACTACTATCTTTATATCACGACATATCCAACCAATCAACAGCACCACCTATGACGTGATACTTTCGCTGAACCAATCACACTAAAGTACCAAAATTTGTAACGTTTGCACTAATTAATTGTAACATTCTTACGCTAATTATACACCAGTGAAATCCTACGAGTTGTTTGGAATTTAATACCCGAATCTTCAACACAAAGTGTTATCAAATAAGTTACGATTTCGTAATCTTAAATGGTCAGAAGACGGCAAGCGTTCTGGCGGTTCATCTGATGTCAAGTGATTACCGCCGCCCATAGATATTTGCAACACCCAATGAAGGGTTACAAACGCGTTGCCAACTTTCAATAAAGCAAAGGCCATCTGCCTCACTCAGCAGACTTAGCAAAGTATAACACTTCCAAATTCCCCGGAGGTATCTGTACCATTCGTGCAACAGCGAAGACTGCTGTGAGCCCTACCAAAGTTATTTCAGGAATATCCAAACGACATGAACGAAACCGTCGAAACCAAATTATATTAGGTTAAGAGAAGTCTTGTTTTGTCAGACCGTCGCCTATAAGATGCAGAACTAAAAAACTGAAATCGAAAGTCAATATTTATAATATTGTTTCTTATTAAGTAATTTACTTACTATATATTTTTTTTCTATATTGCCTCATTGCATGTAACAAAATATAAATACGTATTTTAGTAAATTTTGCCAGTGCGCAAGTTATTTAAATTATAAGTGACATATTATTATGATAGCGTATACAACAGCTCGTTTGAGACTGACATTTATTAAATCTTTAACACCAAATCACGTGTCTGGACGTGCTTAACACCTGAGGCATTCTATGTGTGCTAGAGAATATTTTACCGTGAGTATGCCTCACTAATAGACAAGTGTGAAGTTAGAGAAGAAATTACAAGAAGCCATCACTAATAGCAAACACTGCTTCGCTCGCGACCAACACTAACAAATGTTTTCGCTTGTACACAGGCATGAAAATGACTATGTCCACGACGGCGACGATGAGCGCGCGGGTGCACAGGAAAGTGATACATAAACGCGCGCACCCGGGTAAGTCCGCGCTTCCCGGGAAGATGCTGCACGCGGGCAAGATGGTCCACCCGGGCAAGGGCGCGCTCAACCCGGGCAAATTCGGGCACCTCGGCAAATTCGGGAAACTGACGCACTACGCACACACGCACTCACTACGCCCGCCCGAGCCCTGCGAGAACAGTAACGACAGCGGCCTCGGTCCGGACCCAGTCAACAGGTGAGCGAGACCGGTCCGAGTCTCAGCGGACACTCGTGCTTGTCTAACTGACTGTCTGTGTAGATCACCGCACTTTTAACAATGTCAAATGGTCTCAATAAGTGTCCATGCGTCATCCATTCAGATACACGAAGCCTTTTGTGGGTTTGCCCATTTGATTTGCAACACTGCTTGTTACTTGTTATTATATTACCGCAATGCACGTTAAGTTATTAATGTTATATTCATTAATGTTAAGTCCCGCAGTAAACAGGCCAACGCTTGAACGACACGTAATACGCATGGTACGTTAAACATTCCCCATTTTAAACTTATATTACTTGCCTAAATTTGAACTCTCTTCATTTTAATACACACCTGCTGTCACTAGTTTCTCTCTTTAATTAATTGCTTTGGATTGGACGTAAATCTTCATAACGTCTGCCAACCATTATTTAAGTAAAAGAAAATAATGAGTTTTGACGTCTATTTTGGTTAACGTAATTTCTCTTTTATCTTAGAAAAAATTACATTCCTGTTTAGTTTTTTTATACATATAATGTCTCGTATAAGATTCTATATCGATCTTAGATCTATCAATAGTAGTTTTTGACATGATATGTTGACCTTAGCCATTATTAAACATAGTTAAAAGAAATAAATAATTTATAATACGTTACAATTGTTACTCATGACACATTTATTATTATATTATATAGAATATTGATTGTAGTAAAGACTGTAGAAGTCTAAATCTGATAGAGGGTGGTGATTAAATTTTAGAAAGCACTTGCTACAGTCCTAATCGATTAACGTCTACAGTTTTATTTTTATCAACGTTTAAACCTTCTACGTATTATAACTTTCTCATGTGTTAGTTGCCATATAATATGTATAAACATTCTCATTATCATGCATGCTTAATATATTATAGTTACTTATAATATAAACTAACCAGACGTGCATGCCGCCAGTATTGTCACAGTATTACGGACAGATCTCAACTACGAAGGCCATCAACCGTTTAAGTAGCTGTCGATCTTGAGAACCGCACAGGACAAGTGTACTTCTTCGCTTAAATGTGTAATTGGTTCCTAATAATGTTTGCAGTAATCGTTTATGCGGTTTTACCGTTACTGAGTCTGTGATTACCGTTGGATCCCTCTTCTTAGTGACCTGATGAAAGTAAACTAGGCTATGTAATAATTGCAACCGTGTTACACTTTTCTTCGATTACAAGAAAAGTAGTTCAGTTTTCATACATTATATAATTTTGTGAGCATCTAAATTTTCAAATTAAAACTCTAAAGCATCGAAGCGTATACATGTCGCCGTCGATATCATAGTAGCTTAGCATGAGGTGAACCGTTTGCTCGTTTGGCAACTTTTCACATAAAAAAAAGCATTTTCTATGTATTTCTAATGTGGGTCACTTGATGTTAATTGATTACCAGGATAACTGCAATATCTGGGGTTTTTCATCAGCGTTTTCAAACTTTAAAAAAGTGGACCCAGGTAACTTAAGCCGCGTACCGCGAAAGTATAATACTTCCTCTTCAAATCGGTGTTCACCGATGCACTGGTTCTCCGAACGAGCCTGCCAGTAAATTGCTAAATAAATACTTAGCAGTTGCTCCAACCGATTACAATTTCGACGTTAAACGTTCGTTGCTCGAATGATCCGATTCCGATGCGCCCGATAAATTCGTAGATCCGCCGTCCGAAATTATCCACCGACCTTCGCAACACAGACGTGCAGCGAAACGCGAACTCTAGTTTCGCAACAGCGCCACGCTCCCAGCTCGGACGGAACGAAATGTTCGGTGTACTTTATCGTATGGAAGCTTATCGCCTGATAACAAGCGATATGTCGGCGCCGCGTTATCTAGTTCCAAGTTGGCCGCACTCAAATCTCATCTGACGCATCGCTTGTAGCGGCTGATACATTTTTATCCGTTTAAAACAGTTGATGAACTTCAATGGATAGTATAGTTATATAGTCATATTAGTGGTTCAAACTATAATAAGAAATGAATTCCTCTGCTGACGCTTAAATTATTAGTCTTCGATTCTGTCAATGTCATTAGGTTGACAGTTAGTTTCCTTATAACAACGAAATACAGTCCATCTATCAAGGATTTTGATAGCTCACTTGTTGTATATACAGGCACTAATAAGGCAGCTTCACACTTAACTTATTTACGTGTAGGCAATCCACTAACTGAACTCGACGTGTTTTTTAATCCCAATAATATATTAATAATCCTAATAATAATATATTAATATTTTTAATACAGTCATTTTTAAATGCATGATTCGGAACACTAGCCGACATTTACAAAATTTCCTTTTTTTTTAACTTTCACACCGTTTTGAACATAACATCCTGAAACATTAAAGGTTGCTTCTCAATGTCGCTCTATTAATAAAAATCGTAGTTAAGACAAGTCTCTAGTTACGGGCCGCGTAAGTGCATCTTCATTTGCGTTCAACCGCGACATTCTAGTTTCCTTGTCTAGCGATGTTTAGCTATAGACTTTGTTACAAACGTCTTAAAGGCGATATTCCAATACTGATTTTGTCTTTGCTTTGCATTGTTTACTTTATCCACTTCGCATAATTTACACACTTAAACAGTATTAGATAATGGGCCTCGCTCTTGTTCGGTAGTGGATCGAAACGATACTGACGAAACGGCTTCTAACAGGTTTCGATGAACGCTGACTAGCGACCGGGTTGAAAACGAACAGCTACACTTTTAGTCATGTGACTTAATAATTAAATAGTTCGAACACTAGCCGAAGTCATTTTAGAATATTAAATCGGTGAATCAGGATTAACTATTTGATTTGCGAAATGACAACTTTGCGTCGATATTATTAAAATTCGAAAATTTCCAATATATTCACTGGCACAGATGTATAAGTTTAATGTAAAAGCGTTGAAACACTATTCTAATGTAACTGATCGCTTTCATTTTAGTTTAATTTTCTAACATGTTCACGCACAAAAGAATTTTGGCGGATATCCCAGCAGTTGTCGTACTTAGACTAGTCCAGAGAAGAGCCGAATATAAATTCTACTACTGTCTATATATAACCTTAAAATACCACGTGCAATAAACACGTGCATGAATGAACGTATTATCGACACAATCGGGACCGTGACTCATCACGCCAACTGAAATTCGCAAATACTAAATGAGCGTAGGCAGTCTGCTATCTATCTTCACGACCACACCGCCGCCATTGAGTCGATATGAACCTTATTACCAAATGGTTAAATTCACTTTGTGGTATTGAGTGCGACCTTTGTTTTTTCGTGTGCACTCTTGCTTTGGTACCGATAGATTATCTACGATATTACATACGGGACCGGGCAAATTATTACTTTTATCTTTTGTAACCTTGTTTCGTCACTCATTCCGTTGCACGGGACTCTGTTATTCCTCTACGCAAAATGAATTAAGATCGTAGCACATTCATACCCTTGCAAGTTGATTTACTAAAAAGCAAATGGGAAAACCGAACAAAAGTGCTTCTGTACTGCCTCTCTGCCTCCAAACAAAACAGAACTCAGAGTTCAAATTTAGCCTTGTACACGAAATAACAACCTGTGGACGTAGTGTTTGCGCTGAGCGTATGCTGGAACGCTAGAAAAGTAGTACCATGTTGCTACAGGGAAAAGAAATCTGAATCTAAAATGATTCCGCGTTGCTTCTCTGTGCTAGCAGTTTAACATATTTGCATTTCGGCTAATTGTAAATAAATAAATCGTTAATTTCACAAGTAGCCACCGACTACGAACCAAGGACTGGTCAACTGTGCGTTTCTGTGTCACTGACTGCGTTGCAGCGCACGCTCGTGGCCCGCGTCCGACACCCGCAGTGCACCGCCGTCGTTTTGTGCATTCTGCACTGCTGTGCCACTGTGCGCGGCCGTTGTGTGTAATTGCGCCAGGCCTGTAAGGTGTTGCGTGTGCGCAGATGCGCCGAAGCGTCGGAGGAGTGGGAGCACGGTGACAGGAAACGGCGGCGCGCTGACGAGCCGCCTGTTAAGATAGAGTGCGACGACGCTAACGACGCGTACCCGTTCCCGCCCGCGCCCGCTCCGCTCGTCACGCCGCCCGCACTGCTGCCCGCCCCCGCGTACGTGCCTTTCTTTTTCTTAACCAACTTCCCCGGAGCTTCATGGGTCGACCGTGGAAGTCATCTTCCACCCTCTCCGGCCTCACTTCTCTGCCACTGTTCGCTAACTCGCTGTCTGAGACTAACACATATTAAGATATCATGTTTTGTTTTATCTTTGTCGGTTAGAGCAGATTTTTCAAGGCAGTGTCCGGTGGATATTAAAACTCACTTAAAGAACACGGCTCAACTTATAAATGTAGTAACTTAAGAACCATTGCTTAAAAACATCATTAGAAGTTTCTCAAACTTGTCGATCTTTTACGTGTTCAGTTATGGTGTTTCCATCATAGAGCGGCACGTCGAAAGTGCGCGTCGCCGTCACAGTCATTTACGTGATGTCTGACGAGTCTGCTATCTCAGCTGATACACAATTATTATTATGCGAGAATGCACAACGCTTCATTAATCTACTACCGCACGTAATCGCGAATGGTCAACATCTTCGCGATAACTGGCAATTGTAAAAAACGCCTCTTCGACAGTTTCGTTCGATAAAGTTCAGTCTACGGACTGAATAACAGATCATTAAATAAAGAGAAACGTATTTGGAACGATTCGGAGATAAGAATTAAGTTATTAAAAAATAATTAATTTAATTGCAAGAAAACGTGGGGTATTTTTAGAATAATTTCATAATAAATCTACTTTTATAAAATGACTACAAATAAAATACTTTTGTATCATTTGATGTCAATACTTTTTCTTTAGTGAAATAATTGTCGAAAGAAATATGTGTTATTATATCATGTCAAATGATGACACAAATTATTTTATTTTTAAAAATATTTTTTATTTTTCGTTTATATTTTATTTTACGTAGATATTTTATCGACAAAAGAAGAAAGGGGGGTGGGAGTGCATGCTTAATTGCAACTGCACACGCTTAACTTTATTGACGATTTTTTTTTATTACTTTATTTCATTCAAAACAGCTTTGTTCGCTTGACAATGTCGTGGTGACGATTTTTTTGCATGTTTGTGACGCTTCCACCACTGAAAGCACTTAATGTGACGCCCTCGAGTATTCAAAACTATCGACTTTAATATAATTCTTTACGCCCGGCCCATGAAGAAGGCTTAAATATGCCGGAAGTGGGTCAACTGGGTGCGAGGTATCCCCCATATGTGCATTTGCCACGCTTAATAAATCCCATAAACCCCCCTAGATCCCAGGACTTGCTATAATTCTCACTAGTTATCTTGGTTCTTCGTTGAAGAATAAATCACGGGTAAGATAAAAGACGTCTATATTTTCGCCGGTGTGGCAATGGCCGTTTAGCTTAATGGTTAAACCGCGAATCCAAAGACGTAGGTTCGATTCCCACAGCGGCGAAGAACTTTTCTTACTTTTTTTTTACAAATTTTAATAAAAAAAAATTACAATTAAATTTACAGGAGATTCAAGATAAAAATGACCGATTCTAACAAAAGTTGCCCTTGCCTATACTTAATAGTCCGCTGGTATTGCAACACGACAAACGTCATTTACTCTTATAACTTTTGCAAAACATGCATAAATATTATATAAGTTTTTAAAATAAATTCATCTTGTGTGAGCGTTTTGATTTGCATTGGAAATAGAAAGTGGGAAAGCGGAAAGAAACTTAAAAGTTTCGATTTTGTCGCAACGGTTCCTTTTAGCATCACAACTTTCTAGACTTTTCTAGCCATACCTATCTTGGTGATGTTGCAAAATACTGCGCTATTTGTACCCACATCGGTCTCTGAGTTGGTAATTAATCACTTTTATTTTTGTTAAGGTCTATTACTGGTTATTTCATGACATTAAATCAAGCTTCACTAATTATATATTTGTCCTTTATGTGTCTACTAATTCTGCCAATAGCTGTAATCTCGCTAACTAAAAACGCCCTCCCTTTTCCTATCTTTTCATAACGTGACCGTTTCCTTTCAGGATTAGGGCCGGGTGTAGCATATCTAGTCCGAACATCGCCGAGAATCCGGGGGAAACGTTTCCAGGACCCGTCGTATCGGTCCTGCGGGAAATTGGGCAACAGCGGCAAGCTCGCTGGGAAGTACCCTGGGGGGGGCAAGCTGGCGGGAGTGGGGGGCAAGCTGGGCGGGAAGTTGGGGGGCAAGCTGGGCGGAAAGTATGGGGGCAAGTTGGCGCAGGCGCTCGCCAGGCGTAGGGCCCTGGCCGCCATGTCCCAATCTGGACCGCCGGGATTGTCGGCGCCCCTGTCCAGCCGATCCAGGGACGGCACCGTGGAGCTCCAGATACTGTGCCAACCGGAGACACAGCATCGGGCTAGGTGAGCAAACTCGTGTACCTTTAAACAGCCCGTGAATATTTTGCTCAAAGTGTGCGTTGCACGTGTATCATCACATTTCCGTTCGTATTCTGTACTAAAATTAAAGCCTATTTAAAAACACAAAAGTTTTTAAAAAACATTTTGCAACACTATAGCTGTGTACTTAATGTCAATCAGCACTTCAAAACTTTTGAAAAATTGTTATGTCTTAGTGCATATTGTTAATTTCAAAAATATTTAATGTTATTGATGTAATCGATAAACTAAAATACAATAAATCCGTCGGAAAAAACCAAGCTACAATATCTTCAAAAATCTCTATTTACTAGGACCGTGAATATCTTGGCGGGTAAACACACTAGCATTTTCATCAGTGTCGCACCAATGGCTCAATGTCTCATGTTCCTTTATCCATTGTAGATATCAGACCGAGGGAAGTCGGGGCGCCGTCAAGGACAATTCCGGCAACGGATTCCCGATCGTTAAACTGGTGGGATACGATAAGCCTGCCGTTTTGCAGGTAGGGTTTGTGCATTCTTTCCATATGTGCGTTTATTAACTAAGTTTTAAATAGATAGTTTGTTTTGTCTGTCGAATCTCAAGTAATGTTCCGCTTGAGCTCATACAATACTGATTCGTCATACGGTATCCTAGGAATCTCAGTGACATCTCGAATTCCTTACAGTTTCAAAGGATTAGATTCCGAGCTGAATTCAGCGAAGCTTAGGCCTTCTCGTGTCGGCCGTTTAGCTCCTCGAGGAACTGTTAGGTCGCGTGGGGTTGTGCACCGATGACCGTGTACCGGCTCGATCGCTCCAGGCTCTATCAATAAGAGTTCTTATTTTGTATTTGCAATATATTCACGTCAAACTGTTTATTTAAAAAAAGCCCGCTGAGTTTCTTTCGCCTGTTCTTCTCAGCACAGTGACTTCCTTTTCCGAACCGGTGGTAGTATTTTGACTGTCAATAAGCGAGTGTAATACTCCTACTTATGTTGAATAAAGATTTGATTTTGATCTCAGGTGTTCATCGGAACGGACGCCGGGCGCGTGGCGCCGCATATGTTCTATCAGGCGTGCCGCGTGGCCGGCAAGAACTCGACGCCGTGCCGCGAGAGGAAGGAGGACGGCACCGTCGTCATCGAGGTGGACCTGGAGCCGGCCAAGAACTGGCAGGTGACATGCGACTGCGTCGGCATACTCAAGGTGCGTGACACAGCCCATTTTCTAAAGGCACCACTTCTTATACAAATCACTTTCCCAATTTTCTGAACTACACTGCTTGTCTAGCCTCTCCATTTTCAAAAAGCACCACACTTATATAAATCATTTGCTCGAGTTTCTGAACTGCTACTGCTTAAGCTTATTCGGGCTAAATCTCTTAGCGTTTTATTTTTTCTTAGTGCAACTATCTAAGAGAGCTCCAATGCTTTGTCACTCATGTACGTCAGCTTTTTAAAGAAATTAAACGCGATAACGCGAAAATAGATTCATTAAAAATGTTTCCAAACATTAATTTCTCGATAATAATGCTCTATCAATACCGTGTGCGCTATCAATATTCTATGCTATTATAATTCTATCCACGGAATCAAGCCTTTAAGTCTTATGTGTGATCGCATAACAAGATCAAAGGCATCATGGCGATAGTTCCTCGCTTTCTAACCTCCGCGCCTCGGTAGCCGATTCGGAAGTCCCGCGTAAGACGCGATACGGTTGGTCCCAAAGAGTCGCGACCTTCGGCCCCACTATCGGCGCTCGCCGCCTTATCTGGGGTCAACGCGCCGCCAACCGGTGCCAGACGACTCTCCGTTGCGTCCATTATTCGATAATGGACCCTCGCCGCTATTTGTGGGACAGCGACGTATCTGTTACAGTTGGCGCGCCCGCTTCGCCACGAGTGATTGTCCCTAATAGAACTACACTGCGGCTGTTAAACTCCACTTTGAACCTTTGATATGCACGAGCTTTAAAACGTCCATTACATCATCATGTCGTACATTTTCCTTGTGTTGTAATAACTTTTTGTTATATTTTGTCTTCGATATATGTAACACGACCTTTAATTATTGCGTTATTTTTAGATTGTCTCTTATCTTAGCCCGTACAGTTTTGCTACTTTTACACTGTTTAATGATGTTCTTTCAACATAATACATCGCAGAGTTGATAATGGAGTTTCTCTACTAGACGAAGGAAGAGAAGACCTTTCACACCTATTTCCAGGTTCAAGTATTATAAAAAGTATTGTCAATAGTGTTTGAAATTAGAATTGATAATAATTATATCGGTACCGGTTAGAAATAATAAATAATAAATTTGGTTACAATATAATTTAAGAGTAAATCATTCAAGGATTCTTGGCAACTGACACCCATTTAACTCCACTTGGATTACGGGACTCTAGGTTCTGAATCTAGGTTCCTGACCTTAAAAATTACATATTATAGAACAGAAAACCTTGGTGGTGGATTTTTATTTTTTTATGTGAGAACGTGGCAAACGAGCTCATGGCCCATGAACATTTTCAACACCCGTAGGGTTGCGTTGCCACCTTTTAATAAAGTGGGCCCCTAGTTCCTCACTCACCAGACGAAACGCACAAGTGTAACACTTCCACATGCCGTTCTTCTGTGAGTACGTTTCGCGGTACTCCCACGAACGGAGCCGCCCATTCTTGCAAAAGGGAACACTTGCTTGGCCCTACCGCGGTCAACAACATTATTTGGACTGGATACAAGAAACTCAAGTCGATTTCACGCGTGGCTTGGTGGTCCACAGGAGCGCAACGTGGACGTGGAGCACCGGTTCGGGGAGTCGCTCGGCGGCGCCGGCGGCGGTGGGACGCACGCCGCCCGCGGCAAGAAGAAGTCCACGCGCTGCCGCATGGTCTTCCGCACGGACATCCTCGACGCGGCCGGCCAGCCGGAGACGCTGCAGGTCTGCTCCACGCAGATCATTTGCAGTGAGTTCACCGATACTGCTATTTGCCTAACACATCGTAATATTTGTGCATGTCATCCACCCGTCACACACATTCCCCCTTCTCCAATGTTATCTTCGGTCGAAACTGACAATGTAGTTGACCCTCCAATGATGATTTCAATTTCCAAGGTATTGACTTCGGCGCCGAGGGTCGTGGGTTGGACTCCCACACGGGTCAACTGTTTTTGTGACCCACCGATAGTTCTTTCGGGTCTGGGTGTTTATCCACGTGGAGCTTATGTATATAAAAACGTCCATACAGCAAAGGATAACGTTAGCCTACATTACGGGACAATGTTAAAAAAAAATAAAAAATCATTGTAATGTAGAAGAACTTTAACACTTTAGTGTTGTTAATCCTCCCCTAATTATTATATTCTTTATTAAACACCAAAAAAAAACATAAAAGGAAATGTTACAGAACTATAAACTTAAGAGGTATAAACAATAAGGCGGTCTTATCGCTAAGGAGCGATCTCTTCCAGACAACCTTGTGGTTAAAAATATTTTAATTTGGACAACGGTAGGTGGTGTAAATGATAAACCTACATACTAACATTTAAATAAACTAAACGAATATGTTGTATTTTTGTATAATAATAATACTACTAATCTTGGTCTTACTTATGAAAGTGTGCTCGTAATGACATCCATAATATTTTCGAAACGCTTCGCGTGCAGTTTCGGAAACAACACCGCGTGCTGAAATAACCCTTGGGCTCGGGACAAGTATCTATGGGACATTTCGTTCCCACTTGAGAGTCGAACCGGCAAAACGGTTCATAGGCAACCGCCCGAGCATTTATGGCGACCCGTTCACTAGCGTGCCTCAAGGTGCGTTACTCTCGTCCACTCTGCTCAAGTTAAAGCCCCTTCCAGCCCAGCCGCCGGGAGTGCCCGAGGTGTGCCGCAAATCGCTGGTGTCTTGCCCGGCCACCGGCGGCCTGGAGCTGTACCTCCTCGGCAAGAACTTCCTGAAGGAGACGCGCGTGGTCTTCTGCCAGCGGCAGGACGGCCGCCCCACCTGGGAGGAGGAGGTCGCGCCCGACAAGGAGTTTCTACAGCAGGTGCTTGTCATTCTCTTGTGCAGGTGCAACTAACGATTTTCCGAGTTATCGCATTTACGATTTAGTTATGAAACTTTCTGTGTACAATTCGTCCCCCATTCCTAAACAGTTGTTTGGATTTTGATGAAAATGATAATTCCTTGATAAATGTTCTATAACTAAAATTCACACTCGTTCATTGGAAATTTAAATTCAATCTGCTTTATAAAATTAAACAGTTTTAACAGAACCTTCTCACGACTCTTTTGTATTTAGTTACCGAATCCATATTGAATGTTGTCGTAAAGAATAGAATTAACAAACTATCAATGGTCAATCTCAAATCGAAGTCAGTCAATCTTCTACAGAGATCATAATTATATATAATCAAATATATAATCCGCAGTGGGACCGCGTGGTGAACTATGCCCTAACACCCTCTGTACATGGGAGGCCTTTGCCGAGCAAGGGGACGTGTATTGGCTGTTACATTAAGTTTTCTTTTTGCTTTATGAAAATAAATCTCAACATGTAAATGAGTCGCTGCTGATTATATTGTCGCACATGTCAATAGCGGAACGTTTCTAACGCAGACTCACCTGGTGTGCTGCGTGCCGCCGTACCTGCGCGCCGACATAGCGGAGACGGTGACCGTGCAGCTGTTCGTGCGCTCCGGCGGCAAGGCGTCCGAGCCGCACACCTTCTACTACACGCCGCCCGCCCTCGACACGGGCCCGCTGCACTGCACGCGCCACCACGCGCAAGGTAAACGCCCGCCCCCCCGCCGCCCACCGCGCACCCGCACCCCGTGCCGTGGCAACTGCGCGATCGTCCGTTGCCACGGCAACGGAGATCGCGAACGCACGTCAAGGCGTCGCCTAGCGACGGACGTCCAGAAAGTTCGCCGTTCCCGTTGCCTTGGCAACGGAACGGATTAAGCCCCGTGCCGTGTTCGTCTCTTTGCACGACCGCATGCGATGTGCTTCTAAGTCACTAACATCGTAACGAATTGCTGTAAAATTCGTCTCGCACACTAACAGAGGTGTCGCTCCGTGGGGTCGTTGACTTTCACCTTTTTTTTTCTACCTTCGGGTTTTAAAAATCGATTACGTGTAGTTAATTTATTTTTTAAACTTCTATCAATTTACGGTCAAAGTCATCCACACCCCGAGGACTTGTGTTCGTGGATGCAATTGAATGTAATAACCAACTGGCACGATTTTTAACGCGTTGCAACAATCAACAATACTATTGATTTAATCTCTTCAAAACATGTCATGGCAATGTGAAATTAATTTGCTGCCAACTTAATTAAATTTGTGACGTAGAAACTTAGCTTAATATTTGACATTGATAATTTTGTTGTCGCATATTGTTAAAGCTTTTTTTTGTAAAGCACTAAATATTCCGCGTAATTCCGAGTAGCCAAAATTGTAACAAGCCAAGCTCAACTCGTAATCTTTATTGCTAAATGACCGGTCGTTAATTATTCAATGTAAAACAGACTTAATTGACAATTGCCAAATTTTTTTTTTATAGTTGAAAAGCAACAAAAGCATACTGACGTGCAAAAACAACACAGTCAGTAGAATATTCTTTTCTAATAAGAACCGAAAGTTTACAGTTAACTGCTAACGTCTCATTTTTTATTTGATGTTTGCTTTTTTTTTTAACCTAATCTAATTAAAACAATCAAGGTATCTGACAAATACCTCAGCATAAACTCAATTCCAGTCCTCTATCAACGGTTACTTGAAAAATATGTTTGCGCATGCTCATTTGCTTATGCTGAACGGTCATTTAGTAGCAGAATGTTTATATTTAAATTATTTAAATATATTAATAATTTTACCGAAATATTCGCCGCATTCTGTAACCATACAGTGGAGTTTGTCCGTGCCAATAGCGCATGCCTAACCCGCACAGAATTTCGCTTCCTAACGCATTAACGTACAGTCCGTTGCTTATACCTCATTGTGTCCGCATGCCAAGTGTCCGGTGGTTGTTCTGTTATGTGTTATGTGATAAGAAAAACATGTGAGTTTTTATTATTTATTTATTTTTTGGAAGAAATGACTGATGCGCAAATGGCGTACTATTTCTTTTTCCCCTTCTGTTCAAGCTAGGTCTGTCTAGGTAGCGAGATCGGCCGCCGCAGCCCGCCGCGCGCCGCCCGCCACGGTACTGACACTCCCACACGCGCTCGCACGCGCAAGCACACACACATAACCCCCCTCCCCATCCCCTCACACTCACGCACACACACACATAAACTACCTACAAAGACAAACATGGAAACCTGCCTACGACACGACAACACCGACACAAAGACCCTCGAACATTCGACAAAAACTGTGTCATATTCCAACCAAAACAAACATCACAAGCATCTTTTCGCGCCCACAGTCACGCGTCAAAAATGATTCAAAAGGGGCCCACTTTATTTAAAGATGGCAACGCATCTTTGGTTGTTGCAAGTGTCAAAGGGAGGCCCCGTTGTCACTTAACATCAGTTGAACCGCCTGATCGTTTGCAACCTTCTCACATAAAACAGTTAACATCGTCTCCCATCAATTGATGCAGAACATTGCCACTCGCTACACATTTATAATATTTAAGTAAAGTTTTTCCTTGTGGAAAAATGTTCCTGTCTTCCTAACTGTTTTACTAGTTCTTATAAGACTACCTCAAACCATATCCTCAGTATACTCGATGCATTACATGACTACAATTTCAAGGGCAGGATGTGGTCTGTATTTTGTAATTATTATCATACATGTCTCAACACAGTTATTCACAACATTTTTTTCAAATAAAACACAAAACAACATCACTACAAAATACGACCTTAAACACCCGCGTCATAATGGGATGCATTAACTACGAAAATCGTCTACTATGGGGAAATGTTTTTTATTAAACGGTTTTATTTAGCTCGACCCGTACGGAATTTGTTTGTTTGGGTCAAAATTAGAAATTGAAATTTAAGCACATTGCCGTTGTCAGATTGATCTGAAATTTGGTACACACATTTAATTTAGATGACAATACAATATTAACAAAAAAAAATGTAACAAAAAAAAAACATAAAATAAAACCGTTTAACTTAAAAGTTTTTAAACGGTTTTATTTTATTTTTACACTCGAGAAGTAACTGCAAATTTAACCGCGTAAATAGTTATCTTTTTCAGAACATATGGGACACGTCGCATACTTCCAAATCATCGGTACATCGGCTGATTATGTCAATTTAACAATAAAATTAAAGGCAATAAAATCCGCGGAATATTTTTATAAAATCTTCGAATAATTTCTAGTAAAAAAATAATATATATAAAAAATTGATAAGTTTCGTGTAAATAAAATGGTTGCATTCATTACGTAATTGTTTTCAACTTTTTTTTAAATTGATACATGTGAAATTAAAACGCGTATTTTGCCAATCTATACCGGTCCTCGGTATAGATTGCCAGTTTGCGTTTTTCGCGATCGATGTTTTTTTTTTCTATTATATTGTCTATTAAACAGATAATTCATAGTCGCCGTCCTAAATGATTCACACAATCGACTACATTGCAGCAACACATTTATTTACAGATCAAAACAAAACCCTCCAACACGAAAAGTAGCTAAATCCGCCCGTGCCGCGCTTTCATGATTTATTTAATTTAATGTACTGCTCAAAATTCCATTGCAGTTGTTTTGAGAAACAAAATTATTGTTCATTATTATATTTCCTTTTTGACTTTTTACTTCACTAAAACTTAATGACAATAACGTGAAAAATTAAATGACTATTTGATTTGTTATATTATTAAATTTGGGCGCGAAAATAATTGACGATTTGACATTTGCAAATATTTAGAACGATTGGTTTTATCTGTTTTTCGAAGTATCCGTTATTAATTAAATAATAAGGGCGAAAGCAAAATGTATAACACGTTTTATCTGATGGAGTAATAAGCTTCTTTAGATTTGAAACATCTCAATTAGCTAATTTACTTACATACATAAAATATTTAAAAAATGCTTTCTCGACGACAACTGAACATTATAAAAAAACTCGTTATAAATTATTTTGCAATGATTAAATGTTTACGTAATGTTTTTATTTATAAATGATCAAGTTTATAAATGATGAATCTTAATCTTATTTGGTTCTATCAAAAAATTTATTAATGTATTGGAATAAAAAGAATAAACCGTAAAATGAATAAGCCTTTGAAGTGAGCATTATTAAATTTAACTCTGACAACATAAAGAAAAGACACAACATGAAAAAACCGATGAAGTGTAGTTTTATCGTTTCAGCCGAGCAAGAGTAGCTTAGCTATTTTGTTTAGTGTTTAAGCTTTATTCCTCCATCAGATTTCGGTGGATACGATTGTAATGGAGTTATGCGGCAGCACGAAGCGGCACTAGTTAGGCTGTTGTTGAATGTTGGACGCGTCGTATAATCGCCGTGCGTGTGCGCAGGAGCGGCAGCGGGCGCGGGAGCGGCGGCGGGAGCGGAGGAAGCGCGGCCGCTGCTGGTGTGGGGCGGAGGGGCGCCCGCCATGATGCCGCCCCCCGCGCTGCCCGTGCGCCGCCCCTCCCTCATCGTGCCCGACCCGCACTCGCCGCTGGGGCTCAAGAGCGAGGTACGCACACCCACGCTTATCATGTATACCCGTGTTAGGTTTTCACATGTACCAACGCAACTAACCATCCGCTACTGTCCGTTCAACTAGATCACGCCCGGTTTCTGAAACACTGATCTTACGATCGTAAAGTTCAAGCAACTCAAATAACATCTGAAAAGCCATTGGACAGCTGATTAGTTAGCTTATACGATGATCAGTGTTTCAGAAACCGGCCGTTGTTTCGATTTCTCTTTTTACTGTACTTACTTACTTACTGCTCTTTACTTTTTACTGCTCGTTACATTTATTGTTTCGGAGGAAAAGACGATGCGACGTGTGCATGTCTCAAATAGCCGAGCTTCTGAACTATGGGCTACATAATTATTATAAGGCTATTAACAGGCTATTTTTATGACAAGTGAACACACTCCAGTTCCTTATCCCGTCGCAAGACAGCGAGCCAGACGGCTCGCCCTCGGGAACGGTGATTCCCCTAGTCGGGTCCCCGTGCAGGGGGTAGGAGTGATGAGACGCGGTGGTTGCGCAGGTCCCGGACGAGTCGAGCCAGCAGTCGATGGCGGAGGAGGGCTCCTGCGGCGCCGAGGGTCCGGAGCCGCTGCTGCCCGCGCAGCTGGCTGGCATCGACCTGCGGCTCAAGACCGAGGCGGCGAGGGACAACGCCACGCAGGTCTGACGCCGAGGGGTCCACACCACATCGCACACACGTAGATTCAACACAAACTGTTGCATGTTGACCTAACACCTTTTATACACACGCAGTATTTAATCGACCTAACTTTAACGAGCATCCGCATAACAATCGGAATGTTTACAGGTGGGCTACGTCAGCGGTTACGACTCCATCAAGCTGTCGCCAACGACGCCCACGCAGAGCGACTCGCCGTCGCCGCTCGCTTCTTTCACCCAGCAGCTGCAGGCCATACAGAACCAGGTGCAGACCGACAAGATGGTGGAATCCGTGACCGCCGCCATATTCAACTCGGACAGCGGCGGCCAGATCTACGTGGACCCGCCGATGATGCCGATGTCTTCAATGGACCAGATGAGGCAGCTGATGTCCTCCAAAAGCCCGATAGACCCGTTAGAGAGCGACATGAAGGTGCTCAGCCCTGAGCTGATGATGAGACAGCCGACCATGCAGCCCGCGGTGCTCCAGTCGAGCAACGAGCAGCGGCTGATCGTGTACAACCAGATGCAGACGGGCAGACGCGAGGACACCTTCAACCCGTTCGGCGCCATCACCAAGATGGAGATGGGGACCACTCAGATCGAGCAGAGACTGGCGCAGCAGAGCGCCCACATGGAGGCGCTGGTGGAGGACGCCATGAAGGCCGCGTCCGCAGCCATACTGCCGGCGGACGCGGCCAAGCTCGACGAACTGGTGAACTCGCGCGTCGACGACCACCTGTCGGGTTCGACCACGTCCTCGTCGACGGCGTCGCACGCGTCCGACGTGCTGCTCAGCCCCAACGCGGCGGTGGTGGGGCGCGCCGGCAGCGCCGAGCTGCTGCCCCCCATGCCGGCCTCCTCCATATCGCCGGACGTGATCCTGAACCCGCAGGTGTCGCCGAGCCTGCTGTGCGACAGCGGCCAGAGGATCGTGATGCCGTCGGCGGGCTCCCAGGACGAGCTGATGATGATCCCCGACATCCCGACGTCGGTGAAGACGCCGCCGGCGGCCGTCAAGTCGATGATACTGAACGCCGCCGCCGAGATCCTCACGTCGGACACGACCATGAACGCGCTGGTGACGTCGGCCATCAACACGGCCAACATCCTGACGACGGAGAGCGCGGGCGGCGGCGGCGGCATGCAGGCGGCGGACGCGCAGCCGCCCGCCGAGCCCGCCTCCGAGGCGCCGCTCTCCGCCATGTCGCAGGCCGTGTCGCAGGCCGTGACGCAGGCCGTGTCGCAGGCCGTGTCGCAAGCCGTGTCGCAGGCCGTGTCGCAGGAGATGACGGCGCCCGTGCAGGGCCTCACCGACATGAGCGACCAGGACCTGCTCTCCTACATCAACCCCAGCACTTTCGACCAGGGTGAGTACATGGACATGTATTACTAGACAGTATTACCATTACTGTACTGGACAGTAGACAGTATTTCCTGTGCGACATAGTGCGCGTTTTCGATGCGGACAAGGTGACTTTACGAACAGTTTTCTACTTTCAATTGGTCGCATTTGTTAACTATTCCTATAATTACTGCCCGATTCGTAACTTGACATGGATTTGCACAGAAAGGATCACAAGGAAATATAACATTGTAAATGTCACCTCGAATCGTCACTACATCTGGGTGTAGGTTTCTTATCATGAATTTGTTTACGGGTTAACGTACAGGTCAACCTACCCTCTAGTCACTTAATACGTTTTTCGATAACAGAATTCTATTTTATTTTATCTTATTTTATGTTTCCTTTTAACGATTTATCTCCACGCCCCGGGTTGACTGGGAGAGAATGCCTAAAGGCATTAATTCCTAGAGACATTAAATTTTTTACGCCCTTTGTAATCCTTGATTAAGGTAATTGCAATAAAGTATAAATAAATAAATAAATTTCCTTACTTTCGTTTACAAAGCGTGACCTAAACGACGTGACATTTGACATTCGACGAGCGAGTACATAAAACTAGTTGCGTAATATAACTATATAATTATAAAATAATTCGTCGATTGGTTCATGAATATATATAATAGTATAAAGAGAAATGAAGACAAACAACAAAATGTCTTATTGGGTCACAAAAAATAAAGCTTGAATTGTACGGGGTGGCATTTCTTTTAATGCAATTTTTAAGGATGCCTCCGGTATAATAATTAAGTATTGTCAAAATTAACTGGTATTTTTAGCATTATGAAACTGGTGTAGGAACGGATATATGTTTTTGTTAGGTCTTTATTTAGGTAATTAATTAGCCTGGGTTTGGTGTAATAGTTAAGCCTTTAGTTAGGTAATTAGTCAGTCTGGTTTTGGTGCGTTTATTAAGCATTTAGGTAATTAGATAATTTGGTTTTGATGTGTTTATTAAGCATTTAGTTCGGCAATTAATTAGCCTGGATTTGGTTTGTTTGTTAAGCCTTTATTTAAGTAATTAGTCAGCCTGGTTATGGTGTTTTTATTAAGAATTTAGTTAGGCAATTAATTAGCCTGGGCTTAGATTGTTAAGCATTTAGCTAGGTAGATAGTCTGAGTTTGTTGTTATCTAACTGTTTTAAAGTTTTAATTAAAGGTAATTAACTACCTTTTACTTTGTAAAACAGAAAAATGATATTTATGTTTAAAGGATGAATCAGTTTCTCAGTATTGTATATTTGTTACTACATATTTCCTTGTTTATTTATTAATGACGAGAAATATATATTAATAGTTTAGCTAGATATTCCAACATTTATTATACAGGGAGATTTTTTGAGAAGTGCCCAAATTTACACAGGAGTTTCAGACTCGGTATTATAATCGTTTATTTAAATAAAAAACAATTTTTTTTCCAAAAAAAATGCTATTCTAACCCCTAAAAAACAGAACGTGTTGACAAAGCGGTAATCATTCATAAATACCTAAATTTTACTATGCACGAACTTGTGTCCGTGTTAGTTATGAATGATCGCGCGTAAAATAAATGAGTTGCGAATAAATCACGCACTTTTTGAGATAAGTTCTTCGTTTGAGTTGTCTTCAATTTAATTTAAAAAAATGGATACACTTAGAAAAGCCACCCTGTATATTATAGATTTATTATTTAAAATATATATATATATATGTGCGTATAAATGAACATGCATTACTTTTAGTATTTATTTAAGCAGACAGTACCTACATGTACAGACAAAATTAATTTTGCAGCAAGAATGAGGTTTAAATAAAAACTTTCTTTTACAATTTGAGCTATAGCAATATTGCAGACTTCATTCATTGTCAATATATTGTTAGGCAGTCGATTTTATATATGACGTATTATTCCCACCAATACATTGAATAGCAGGCTTTATTTTAACCACCTATGAACTGGCTGCAATTGAAAAAGCGTAGGCGTTGGACGTGATTTTAAATAAGTGAACAGTTACTGTTCTGTTGCCAGACTGGATAGACCCCGTATGACGCTTCTATTGATTATGTACTCATTGTTTTCGACCAAGATATTTCATAATATGTAATATAACCATGTGCTTTTGTCTATTGCAGTGTAAGTCGCCGCGTCGCTTCTAAAGCAACCCAGAGACATTACTCTCGAAACCCGCGTGCCCGTGCGATTGCATTTGCTATAGTGATGTGTTAAGGGCTCAAAGCAGTTTTTATGTGAATTCTTAATGGATTTTACTGTATTCGCCGTAGATGTTTAAATGTAAGGTATACAATTATGTATAATCTCTGTACGGAGCGTGGACAAACGTATGCGTAATTCCGTCTGTTTGATGCGATGTTTCGCTTTAAATATAACCCTCATAGTTACATTTTGTGTCTATGGTTTCTATGTAAAGAGTTATATGAAAAGTCAAAGTTGTAATTTGGAAATTTCCATTAAATTTACAAAGCATTAGATCTATATTAAAAAAAAATAATACTTTACAACACTTATTTTTTTATATGTACAGATGTTTATTTATTTTAACGCAATACTTTTAACGTTTATTTTAACGCAATATGTACATACTGTACATATTGCGTTAAAATAAACCTATTTGGTAAAAAAAAAGCTAAAACTATTTGGTAAAAAAAAACTATTTCTCTTGACTTGATATTTTTTGCATTATAGCCTTTTCACGTAGAAGCCATCGATTTCAAAATGCCGTGATACGTTTGTATGCGTCAATTAACTACACCATGTGAGTCAGTATTACAGGGCTAATGAAAACAAAGTGACGTCATGTGGCAAAACACTTGTTTTCTATATACATTTATTACATTTAAAATTATCTGTAAGGTATAATAAATGTATCTTTGTATATTTTTATTTAGTCGTTTTATTTGCTACCTAAAATTAAATGATATTGGCTAAGTGTTTTGCAACATGCCGCATATAATATGTAAATGATGTAACAGTTTTACATTTGTATGAATAATTGAGTGGTGAAATTAAATTTACGTAATGTTTATATTGAGAGTAGCCGAGATGTGTATTTTCTTACCAGACTTTTTTTTTGGATTTCGAATTTTAATGTGTACATAAAGTAAGCTTCATATATTTATGTTGTTGTTGTTGATAAATCTAGGAATGCGGTGTCGGTCTTTACGATGCGTGGAGTACCAACAAATATTTTTATCTCTTATAAGTTACATAAAAGCTTCGGCACCTATTTAGTTAAGCCCAAGCGGCAATTAGGTGAGAACGGCCTGTTGACGATTGTTAAATGTTATAATTATTTTCGATGTTTCGCATCGCGAAACATGCCGTAGAGTGGTGACGACTCTGGACTGTTTTCTGATTCCCCGTAATCATTTACTGAACGTATGCAGTGACTATATCCTTAGAGTAAACTATCGTAGGTTAAGTCATTGCTTACACTGTACACTAATCCAAGATCGTCATCACGCTGTTATGTCCGTTTATGACTAAGTTCTAATCGTCGTTTAATCTCTTGTCGGGCCGTAACTTTTTTTTTTTATTAAAACCCATTTGTATTGAGGATAGTCAAAGACTTAGCTACTATAATAGCATATCTGTATAGAGAAATTGCTATAATAACTGTCCAATCCGGCTACAAGGACCAACCGATTACGCGACGGCAACACGCTGTATATCATCGTGATAGTTAGGAACGAACTATTATTATTGTTCAGGAACATATAGTTGTTATGTATAAGGACAACAGTACTGATGTGATTATAGAGCAAAGATTATATGAACCTAGCTATGTTAAACATATATTACGAGTTCTTTTCTCTTTTTATATATATTAAAATTTCGGATGATACATGTTTAATGTGCCATTTACTGTGTATAGACGTAGGGTAGACCCGAAGGCGTAACTGCGTCGTGGCATAAGATCGTATACGGCGCCAGCACTGCCTAAAGCTATTACGCATGCCTATCAGCGCTAAAATATTGCCAATTTTCTTAGTATTTTGTAAAGCAACTAGTAACGAGTCGACGTCTAGTATAAATATGTTGTTATTCGTTATATATAAAGGTATATAAGATTAGTATAGGTTTTTAAATTAGTGTGCAAATGAAATTTGGCTAAAATCACACTAATAAATGAATCAACAATTTTTATTGTTTAGGAGCGTAAAATTTCATCGATTTCGTTAACGTTTTACACATACAGCGATATTAAATATCGAGGCTTTCATATTTTATCGATGTGGGCCATGGTCCTGATACTGTTTTAATATTGCAACATTATAGGCAATGCTGCTGTCGTATAGATTGCTATAATCCTGTTAGCCGAGCCCAGTAAAGCTGAGCTCACAACACGGTGGTAGACCGACGCGAACTTTGGCGTGCCCTCAACCGATGCGCACCAACCATAGTATGTATAGGGACCATAATGAAACCTTTCACAGAAACAACACTACAGGAGCTTTTCACTAAGATTATATTAAATATAAAAATGTTAATCACAACAAGATTGCTGAATTGTAGCTAATTTTAACATGCATATTTTAAATTGGAGATTGCTAACATTTTATTGTAATCTAGAAATGACGCTACTGTTATATATATTTACAAGATCGAAGGTTAACGTTTCTAATTTACGATGTATTATTTACAAGACGGGATTTATAGTATTTACACTAACTTAATTATAGTATAGAAGTAAAGGTGTTCCGAGACCGCAATTTTTATATTCGTTATTGTAAATAATAATATTCAGATGTGCACTTATGCCGCGGATAGAAATAAAGACTGTTCCGTCATAACTTCGTCAAACAAAGGTCGTCTTAAAACCTTTGTGTTACAGTTACGAAATATATCGTTGAATTTCATACTAATACCGCCCCAAAGATGTTAACTAAATTCGGAATATTTACCAAATTTTATTATTACTTCTTTACAAAGTTATTCAAGGCGTTTGTAAAATTATTTATAACAACGATAGATTTATACATGTTTTGATAGAGAAGTGAATCGATTTAAACTTATTTTATAAGATAGTTTTATACATAAAATATTCTAAAACCTAATTATCAGAATTTTATATGTATTATTCGAGTATGTCTATGGAAGTGATAAGTTGCCAGGATACACAATGTTTTTTATTAAAGCTGCTACAAGAAAAATTGTTAATAAAAAAAAATTCACGAATCGCATCACACTGTATAAATAGGTGAAGCCTATATCTAGTTATCTGTCGGTCTTCCATATTGTTTTTACAATTGTTTTATATAAGAAGCACAAAACTAAATGCATTTGACAACTAAACCCAATGGGGATGGCGTCGCAGAGGGCGCAAGTGAGAATGAATCTTATATGTTTAAGTTTAAAGTCTCGTTACGGTGCCTTCCCCGTTGCGAAACCGTAGCTAAATATCCCTATGTGTTTTACGTTAGTGTGGCCAACGCGCGACTGCCGATTGTGTTTCTGCAAGCGATAATGATCTTTATTACATAAACGTAGAGCTTTAAACGGGATGCATGAATCTATGTCAGTCGCGGTTCGTCGTATCATAGGTCTCTAGTCGGTCTATTCAATGCAACTTGCCGAAGGGTCACGACGAGTAAGTGTATGTTATTTGTTTTGATGTAATAAATTAAATGTTATTAAAAAAAACAACTGCGTATAATTTTCTCTGTAAACGACCTTAAGAACGTCACCGGAAGTCCCATCAACATATTGGACTGGTATAATCTAAAATAAGTTATCGTATATTTAGAAATATCTGGACAGCGATTATGATTTAACATCAGGTGAACCCCCAGAACGCTTGCCACCATCTCAAGCAAAAAATTCTTATCAAAAAGTAATGAATAAAATATGAAAATGTGTGAAACCAATGAAAAATTGCAGCAAACCATGAAGCAACGTGTAAAACTGAAAGCTCGAGCGTCGACATATCCGCCGCTTTGTCCTTGCAATGCCATGAAATGCTATAGTTTTTTTTAAAAATAATTGTTTTAGAAAAAGAATGTTCATTGTTATGCGCAAATGTGGGAGAAGTCAATTGTTATAATTATGGCACATATTTAATGTAATTAATAATTTATCAATAATTTATTAGCACACTTTGTTGTGACTCATTTAAAAGTTGTTGGTTTGATAGCTATTGCGTCGTGACATTTTCTACACCCTACAATGGGGGGGTTGGTATTGAAGAACTTGTCTCCAATAAACTCTGTTGCGCGCAATAATTGTTTAGACCATTTGTTGTTTAGACCATGCAACTTATTTATTGCTTCAATTTAATTGTATACAACAGGCAAGAAACTGGCATCATGTAAATGGGCCTTTATTGTTATCCAATTATTGAGTCATTGTTGTGTTATAGTTGCATAAGTCAGTAAAAACTGTTTGTAACATGTCTCTAATACAATGGATGTGTAGGTGGCTCAGGATCGTGCTTCGAGACAGTCTGTGGGGGAGGCCTGTGTTCAGCAGTGCACTTAACAGGCTGAAATGATGATGATGAAATAAAAAATTTATATAGGAAAACTTTTTTCTTGTAATTAAAAAGTTACATTAAATTGAAAATAAATTTTTGATCTCAGTACCGGAGACGGCTCGCAAACCAACCTGACCGCGTGTTATGTCACAATGTTAATTTCTACTCATTGCATGCAGTTGTTACCTACAGTGTTTTAAATATTCATCGATTTCATTTCGTTACTAATGTCAATATATTTGGGGAATCTAGGCAGAGATGACCAATATGATCTACGATTCGAAGTATCATTTTATGGTAGTATAATTTTGCAACGCGGAAAAAAATAATAATCAAAGATACCGTACTGCATTTAAACATTTTTTTACCTAAACTGATGTTTTTGCTTAAGCTGTACTCGGTCAGAAGAAAGATATCACGATACCACAACTACAATATTTAATGTTAACGGAAACAATTCTCTACCACAGAGGCATACAATAACTCCACATATTTCAATTTATTTTTCTTACACCGTTAAATTCGCAAAAACAAATCCTACACAATAATATAAAGCGTTATGTCCTACGAAGCCTATCTATCAATAATGAATTCAAGGATTCACTCATGCGCTTTTGCCTCTCCCGTAAAATTTGTATTTTGTC